TGTTTCATGGATTGGTGGCAAAAGCAAGAGCTTAGAGGTCATCTCAGTCTAATGCTTGATAGCACTGCTGCAAAAACACTGGGTCCACAGCCTCACAGAGCAATGTGGTCGTGTACATGTTAGGTCTGGAAACAGCAGCGTCACTGGTAAATTTAATCCTGCTTCCAAACACTAAGAACGGACAGTATGGGGGAAGGGAAATTTGTTGTATAGGACATAATTGTGTGTTAAATGGCAATGCAAGAAATAAAGACACAAAAGCTTTAGAAATACTCTTCCTTGCAGTAATGAGTATCTGGAGCCTTGAGGATTTATTGTTCAGCCTTTGAGCATTAAAATCTAAAAGACGGGGCTACAATATAATTTGTACCACAGGTCATCACGCTGCAATCCTGTGACTATAACAAACCGGAAATTTACTTTACCAGAAACAGGATTAGCCTGACCTGTAAATCTGAATGAGCCGTGCCATTTTTCTTTTCTTCCTGAGAGGCCACAATATCCTGGTCAGGAAATAAGAAAACTTACATAACACTGGGAAAATACCACGTGGCATCTGTTAGCCATCTACTCACTGCTAGAAAGTGGAAGTTTTCTTTAAGGTCATAACATCAATAATATGTTGGTAATAACTCTAACACTGTTATAGCTTATAAACCATTTCACAGTTTAGAAGATGAATGAGAGTAGAAAGAGGAGCAGGTGGTTCACAGGATGCACAGCATGATGACAGATAAAAAGGAAAGACACCTACATCAAAGTCTTGAACAGAACTGATCCAAAAGCCAAAATCAAATCACATCATAATTCATGACCTCATGATCCCTGCACAGCAACCAAAATCATCATGTCATTTCTGGCACTGATTAGGTTGGCATTTCATGCTGATCAAAAGTGAGCAGACAGAGAAACGCAGAACACAGTTCCATTGCAGGAGAACCCTCTTCCAAAGCCAAAAATCACAAAGCCTGCCAATGCAAAGCAACTGACTGGATAAAGCCACAGCAATGACAAGGTTCAGTGTTTGATCGCACCTACCTGGCTGCAGACTAGACCAATTTGTCCTCAGTACATGTTAATACTGGAACACACAGGGGAACATCGCAGGTTTATAACAGAGGAGGTTCATTCACATACACACAAGCTTCACATTACACATGAAAACACATCAAGCATTGAGCAAATAGATAGAAAACTACAAAAAACTATAAAAAGGTAATATAGGTGGTACTGAGAACATGTGAGCCAACTTCTAGGATGGTTTCTGTAGGTCAAGTTAAAAGCAGAAGAATTCCTGGCAGCTTATGTCTGCATATTCATCCATCTACTGCCTGTTTCTGTGAGCTATCTGTTTTTTCTTGAGTTTAAATTTGCCACTGATTATTATTTGTATGCTGCACTTTAGCAGACACATGCATGCAGACATGTTGACCTCCTCCTTCATGCCACCGTATTTCTGACAACACCTTCACAACACAAAAGAGTGCATAACGTTCATGCCCACTCAAAAAACAGAGGAATAAAATAGGAGAATATGACGGCCAAGCATGGAGCACAGATGCAGCCAAGA